CAGTCCGAAGGCTGAAACCCCAGGCCCCTCAGCTGTGGACGTACCCTGAAGGGGCAAGCCTGGCAGGTGGCTTTCCTGCTGCTGCTTCTGAGGTCCCTCCAGCGGAGGCTTGCTCAAGCCCTGGCACGCCGGCCCCAGGCTGGCTGAGGGAGCGAGAGGTCACTGGAGGTGCGGCAGGTCCGGTCTGACCACGGGAGCGGCCAGCACAGACCCACACGGGAAGCGGCCGTCTGCACACCCTCCGCCCTCCGTCGCCTTCCCTGGCTTGCGGATTCTCCTTCCACCTGAACCCTGGGTTTCCTGGCTCTGCCCCACCTTCCAGATCCCCTTTTCTATCTCGGCAGCCGCCACAGCATGGAGTGATAGAGCAAGGAAGCCGATGGGCTGGTCACAGGCACCAGGTGACGTTCAAGTTCCAGGCCGGGTTTTGGCCTGCTCCACCCTGCGGCTCTGCTTAATCCCAGGCCCATCAGGCCCCATTCAGGGGTGGGGTGGCAGCCCTGGCCTCTCACAGGAGTGCCCACTTCACTCCCCCCTGCCCCCACCCAGCCGCATCTCATCACTCCCCAGACAGGCCCAGCTTTCCCGGCCCTCTGCCTCTCGGGCGTCTGTCCTGTCCCACCGCACTGGCGTCCTGGGGCTGCCAGGCGTCGCCTCTTGGCCACAACCTTCTCTATAAATCTCAGCTCACACACGCTTCACTTCCGCCAGCCCAGAGAGCAGGGGCGAGGCGCTGTGGGCAGAGCCCTGCTCTGAGGCTCCACGGCCCGTTCGCCTGGCCAGGTCAGCTGCCCCCAAGGCCTGCCAGCACCTGGGCCGAGCAGTAGCAAAGTCCACAGAGCCCAGTGAGGAGAAGCGAAGCTGCAGGCTGTCCTCCCGACAGGCACCGAGGCGGGACGGCTGTCCCTCGGCCCCTGCCCGTCTTCCCTCCGCTACACGCAGCCCAAGCTGGTACCTGCTGGAAGGGGGCTGCCCAGCTGCCGCCACTGAGCCCAGGCGCTGCTCTCTGGCCAGACCTTGGGCCTTCTTGCGTGCCAAGGCGTGGCTCAGCCAGTCCTCCTCTGCTTTCTCCTCAGGCGCCCCCGGCCTGGGCTCCTGGCTGGCTGTGGCAGGGGGCCCCACGCCCTTGGTGGGTGGTTTTGTCCCTGAGGAGTGGGGCGGCCCGCTGGGGGCCGATGGCAAGTGCTGGCTCCCAGAGTGGGATACAGGGGGTGTGGGCAGCACTGGGCCTCTTCTTTCAGCTTCTTTGGTGGGAGAGGGAGGGAGCAGGTCCAAAGCGTCATCCTTGAGGCCCAACCAGTCAGCGCCCCCCTTCCTGGGGTGGAGGGGGCTGGATGTTGCTGGAGTGCTCTGTTTGGAGCCCGCTTCTCCCTTGGGGTCTGCACCACCTTCTGCTAAGAACCTACTTCAAGTAAGAAAGGAGGGGATTTAAGGCCGGGAGCCGCTGCCCAAGCGTCCCCTGCTGGTCAGGGGGCAGCGCGGGGCGGGGGTGGGGGGTTGGGGGGGGCGTGGACGGTGTGAGGGGGCTGCCAGGACACAGGCTCCCTGACCCCACCACATGAGCCTGGACAGCAGAGGCACCCAGGGACGAGCAGAATCCACCACAGGCCCAGGCCCACATCCCGAGGACGCTCAGTGGGAACAGGAGGTTTCCGTTTTCCACTGACAGTCATCTCCGCGCCTGTCAGGTGAGTCACCAGCAGGGCAGAGCCCAGGGCTGGGAACCCGGAGGGGAAGCGCCAGGTACACAGAGGCCTGGGCAGGAGAGCGGCCCTGAGCCCAGTGTGGCCCAACGAGTGGCTTCTTTGTAACTATTCTACATCTCAGTAAGTTTGAACTTATTTCTAAACAAAAAGTTTAAAATAAGTACAGGGAGAAGAGACCCTAAATTTAGAAAATTCTAACGACTTTTGATTTTGATGGTGGACGCATTCTTGGAACTCTCACAACCTAAGTTTGGGCGCAGATGGAAGGCGAGCAGGGCGGTGGTCACAGCAAAGGCCAGGCAGCGTTTGGGGGAGCAGCGTTAAGGGTCCGGCTCCCCTGGGGTTGTGTGTTCCTCAGAAAGAAGGGCGTTTGTGGCTTCCGGGGCCTCCAGGCGGAGTCTAGCTACCTCCTTTTTCTTTCACGGAGGCGGGGTGGAGGCCAGAATACAAACCAGCCCCCACTCGGCCTGGACCGGTGGGGACTGGAGGACCGCAGGTCCCCTCACACCTGCAGAGCCGGGGTCTGGCCCCACGCCAGGCTGGATGGGAAGGCAGGGCACTGGCCCCCACCTCCGGAAGCTCCCACGGGCCCCGCTTACCTGACTGACTGTCGGCGGGACTGCCGGCCCTCGGCGGAGCTCACGGTGGGCTGATAGGCCCCGAAGGTGAAGTCCTCGTCGGCCTCTTCTTTGTCTGTGAATTCAGGGGCCTGTGAGCAGTTGCTTCTGTGGCTGCAGAAGTTTGCTTACAAGACGCAGACTGGCAGTTTCACGGGTGGGACCAGAAAAAGCGAGGCCGCCAGGGGAGAGGCCCGGGTGCTGTGTGGGTCACAGAGCTGCTCTGGACAGAGGCTGGCGGGCCGAGGCTTCGAGAAACACTGAAGATCCCAGAGCAGCGTCTCCCACGCCGCGCTGCCCCCGTGTTCACACACCGAACAGCACACGCGTAACGAGAGAACACTGAACGCGCCTGCTGTCTCCTGACACCTGCTTTTGGTGATGAATGTGTGGGTGCCCTATTTCTGACGTGCGTGACCCCTATTTCTGAGGATGGGATGTGGCAGGGCCCTGGTGGGGGCCCCCCCCTCGCCTCCCTGGCCCCACCAGCGCCCTCACCCTGTGGTTTCTGGTACTTCCTGTCCAGCTTGAACTCCCGGTGCTCCCCCGTGCCCGGGCGGGCCAGAAGCTTGGTCACGGTGCCCCGACCCAGCAGCTCATCCAACTTGGAACGCGCTGGGCGGGGCCCTTCCCTGCGGGATGGGACCCACGGTGTCTCTGTGAAGAGAGGGCTTCCCGGGGGTCCCCTGCTGCACCCACCCTCCAGCTTTTCCCTGGACCTGAAGCAGCAGGCTGTCCAGGGACTCACGCTCCAAACATCCTTACTGGTCTCCCGCCCGCCGCCGCTCTGCTTCGGGGCTATCTCCAAACCCCAGCGTGGCCATGATGTCGTCCCCGTCATCAAACAGCGATTCTTTCTTTCGGACGGGTGTGTCTCCCGGGGTCAGAGGGACGGAGGGCCCTCAAAGACAGGACCCGGGCATGTGGGTCACAGGCTCCTTGGCCTCAGCCTCGCCTGTGATGTCTGGATGGTGTGTGTGTGTGGGTGCCTCTGCACCCCTGACCTTTAGCGGGGGTGACAGGCTCTGGCCCCCCACCCTGGGGTGCGGCTCACTGCCAGCTCAATCAGCCCAGGAGCGTCTCAGCGCGTCCCTACCTTGCTCCCGGACAGGGGGCAGGCTCTTTGCCGAAGCCGGTTGACTCCTGGCCGCAGGCGCCTTCCTGGCCACGTCCTCCTCCTCCCCCTCGTCGGAGAGCAGTCCTGCCAGCGGGTCTTCCATGTCTGGTGGCCGGAAGGGAAAGCACAGGTCAGACAACAGCGCTTGTCAGGAAAACTAGTCCGCTGGGGGAGGTTCTAGCTGCTCTGGTGGCGCTAAAGCATGAACATGCCCAGTGTCGGGGGGGTTCTCCGATCCAGACCAGGTGGGAGCTGGCCCTGGCTGTGGGGGGCGTGCCCACAGGGCCCCCCGCTGCCACCTAGCAATGCCACTACGTCTAAGAAGAGAACCCGCACGCGTTCACAGGGCTTTATAAGGCCCTCGGCTGCCATCTGGCTTCCTGGTCCTGGCCAGTGAGTTCCCCAAACATCCCAGCCAATACAGCACAATGAGCCCTCTCTTGGCTCAAGGTGGCACCAGCGGTCTGTTCTCCTGCACTACATGGAGCCCTGGCAGTGGGCAAGCAAGGGTTACCCCGCTGTTCCATTGGCAAAACTGGGGGACCCGGCCAACAGGCCTACGGTACCTTCAAAAGAAAACTTCCTGTACTGGTGCCCAAGGGGAGGTGACTTCTTGGTGGGAATGGCGTCCCCTGCAGGAAGCAAAGGGAATGCAAGGTCAGGGCCACGTGCTCTGGGGCGAGGCTCTCTTGCTCCATCCGGCCCAGCGCGGACTGCGGCCTGCTTCCTAGAACGCTGAGGAGCAGCCTGGGGCGCCCCTCGGCATTCCTCGCAGGTTCTGGAAGTCACCTCCTGTGCCACTCACAAGTCACTGCAAAGGGAGATGTGGTTTGGGGGAAGCTCACGCTACCCCAACACTCTCTAGCGGGGCTCCCCGGCTTCTCCAGGAGGGGCCACATTGCACATGGAGGCGTGGCAAGTGCCGCCGTGTCCCCATGTCCCTGCCCCAAGTGCTGTTTCCCAGCCACCTTCTCACTGACATACCGGCAGGTTTGGGACTGCTCAGCAGCTCTTCTTTCCCAGAACCCTTTGCCGCTCTTTTGCTTGCGCCTGGAGCAGATTTCTGCAGACCTAAGAGATCAGCATCCATGTCATCCAGATCCTGGAGGAGGGAGAAAAAGCCCACCACTGCTCAGCCGGCGGTAGCTACCGCGGGTGTGACTCCACTTCCCCTGTGGGGCATGACGCCATTCCCACAGGGTCGTGGGCAGGAACTGCCCAGCAGGGCTATGGACTGAGGGTGGAGGCGGGGCAGAAGCTCACAGTGGCCACACAGCCAGTCACCCCTTCCTAGCGGCTGCTGCCTGGTGCCAGAGGAGGGGGTGGCCAAAAGAGGCCCGGTTCTTCGGGTTCCACAGAGCTGGTCAGGGTGCAGCCTCCGCCTGGGGCCCATGGCAGCATGGGCGAGGCAGAGGGACACGGGCAGGGCAGGCAGGCGGGCACACGGGATGGAGGGGCAGTGGGTGAGGCCGAAGGAGGCAGGCAGCTGCTGCCCTCAGCACCGGGCATGTCACGCTAATAAACTGCTCAAATTCATGCCTTCAATTTCTGCTGGTGGCACAAGTGTTTACGTCTCAGCCCTGTGAAGCTGGCCGCAGCCAATGCAGCCTGAGGCCAGGGAGTGACCAACAGGGTGCAGCAGACCTCTCGTCTCCCCACTGCCCCACTCAGCAGCGGATTTCAGTAGATCTGCCTGGTCTGCTCCCCGATCTGGTGAATCTTCTCACCTCTTGCACCTCTGGCCTATGCCCCCGTTCTTGTGTGCATAAAGAAAAGAAAATAAATCTTTAAAAAAATTCTGTGGCAAAGATTAGTCTGGGGCTTGATCTGGTGAGAGTAGCAGATGGAACTTGGTGGGATGTGGAGAGATGTTTGAACAAAGAGAAAAGGCCCCGATCCCATGGTGGGGAGACCCCAGTGTCGGCCATCTCTTGCCACAGCCTGTGGTACAACTGTCTTGAGGGCAAGTGTATAAACCAGAAAAACCGACATGTCGTGGCGGGGGCGCAGGGAAGGGGGTGAGGGGCAGGAGGGGTAATAGGCCATGGGCAAGCTCCAGTCTTTGTTTTTCTAAAGATTTCTTTTTTATACATAAAAGCTGGGGTACAGCCCAGGGGTGCAGGAGGTAGTGGTGGTGAGAGGATTCCCCAGAGACAGAGTGGGGAGCAGAATAGGCGGATCGGTGGAAATCCACTACTGGGGGGAGCAGCAGGACACAGGAGAGGTCTGTTGCGCCCTGGGGTGACACAGCTTTGCAACCTCTATTGACTGACATATTCCGGATGGAGGGGAAATGCTCTGAAAAAACAGACTTTCACGCTGACTTATGTTATGACCTCCCTTTTTTGTATAAGTGTAATATCAAAATGTTCTGAGCAACCTTCAGCTTACAATTGGATTGCCTTAGCTGCATAAGGCGCTACCTGGCTCTGACAAGCACTGCACCAAGGGCGAGAAATTCCTCTTGAAATCAAAAGTGATTTGACAACTGGCTGATTAATAAAAACAAATGGCTGTTACTGCAAAGTCTCTCTCACTGCCAGACGGAGGAAAACCCAAACCTTATCACTCTACTATCTCACATAGCCTTCTATTCGGTTTCTAAATAACCACTCAAGCTTTCTACTATCTAGTCTTTAGATATGGAAATTGACCCAAGTCACTTATTCAGAGCTAATCAGTTTTTTTATCTTCTAGACTTCAAGGAAGCTTAAACTTTCTAACAAGTTTTTCAAAGAACCTTACCTTAATTTGGTTTACAAGAAATTTCTTCTTCCTGCCCACATTTTACTTTATCCCCTAGGATGTCTCTATGAGAATGAAAGCCTTTAAGTAATAGATAATGTTTCAAGGACTTTATTTTGGTTAATCTTCACTGTGGTAAATATAGTAATATTAGTCTTAACTTTGTAAATCTATGTACCTGTTTTAACCTTGATAGATTGATTTTTAAAATGTTATAATCTCAACTAAAGGTCAAAACGACCCCAGACTATTCTTAGAAAAAAGGTGATTGTGATCTCAGCCCATTTAATATGCTAATGTCACCCCGCTGCCTGCCTGAAGTGTATAAAATAAACCTCTGCCGAAGGCAGAGCAGGAAGACTTGCACCCAACTCCCATTTCCGTGTCTTCCTCGTGCCCACTCCCCTTTTTTCCCCTTTTCCCCCTTTTTCTAGAAATCTCTGCTCGCCAACACTGTTCCCGCCTTGAGACCCTGCCTGTTCTGTCCCCCAATAGTTCGTGATCAGGGACAAAAAGTCTCTGACACTGGGGGTCACTCCCTGGCCGGGAATCGAATTCATGCCGCGGCGGCTGCAGACAGCTCCTCAGTACCGTGCTGTAACCCCTGTCCCCCAGGGCGCCTGCAAACTCCATTCTGGAGCAAAGACGGGCTCAGAACCATGGTAAGGGGAGATGGAGAGAAACGAAGGCCGGTAAAGAATGTCACTGCTCCGTTCCCGCCAGCTGGGGCTCCATTACCTTCATGGCCTGGAGCAAAGCCTGCGGGTCTGCTTCCGAGACGTCCGAGACCTGAGGCCAGGGAGGACAAGCACGCAGGGTGGCGGAGGCCCCACACCACCAGGCACCACCCCGCTCTCCAGGGGCGCAGCTTGGCCGTGGGCACTCACGGTGCGGGAACGGGCTGGCTCACCTCAGCCTCGGCGCCTGCCAGGCCGAAGGAATCGCCTTTCAGGAGGGACCTGCAAAGGGGCAGAGTTGGCGCCCGCCCACAGCCCGGGCACTAGATGTCTCTGAGAAAGGAAGAGTGTGTCACAGCATCACACCAACTTGCACAGACCCTCTGCAGGAAGAGAATTGCTGAAAAGTGTGTCACGGGCTGTCCCATGATTTTTAACTTTTTTAAGGCGCCAGAGCCCCTTTAAAAGCAACTGGTCAAGACAACAGTGAGGAGAAACCAGAGCTGCTCTGGCTGGAACGAGGATGGCAGTGGAAAGCTCACAGCTTCTTCCTTTCTCTCAACTGCCAGGAGAACCTTAGCACTTCAGGGAGCATGACCCCAAGTCACTGTTGAGGCCATCCTCATTCTGAGGACAGAACAGGAGGCTCAGAGCTGTTCCGAAACTGCCCAGGGTCACAGTGAGCCAAGCTCGAGGGCCTAAGTTGGCCTCTGACCTGCAGTTCAGTTCTCTTCCTGCTCCCTGGGCTCCGTGATGCCCAGGGGCTGAGGGGAGGAGTAGGAGGAAACGAACCAGCATTCGCAGGGGCCCCAGAGGGAGGGCAAAGGGGTGGGGCTGACGGGGTCAGGGCACCCCACCAAGCCTGGGCTTACTTTGTCTGGGCCCTTGAGAGAGGGAGTGCTGGAGCTACCCTGGTGGTGTCTGTGGCACTTGAAGCAAGTTTTCCAGGCTTCTCAGGAAGTATGTCTGGAGCACAAAGCAGAAGAGTCGTCACTCCGCTGGAGAACCCGGTCAAGACGAGGCCCGCCAGCTCCCCCCACTCCCTGCCTCCAGCTGTCTCCCAGGCCTTCACACTGACTTTGACCGGCAGGGGAGAGGGGAGGCAGGGGAGAGGGGAGGCCGGCTTCCCGGCAGAAAGTCAGCCCCTGAGGCCAGCAGTGCTGAATGAAGAGGCTTACGCTCTACCCCTCCCTCGACCTGGCCAGACAGAGTTGCCCCAAAGCTGCGGACATGGACCCACGGGCTGAGGCACTCGTATGCAGAACATATAAGGAACTCTACAACCCAATAATGAAAAGACAGCCCACTTTTAAAAACAGGCAAGGCTCTGCATAGGCCTTTCTCCAAAGGTGCAAATGGCCACAGCACTCAGCTCCTCTACATCCGGGAAGGCTGCGACAGTCGGAGAGAGACACGGGCAGGCTCCCCGCTCTCTAAAAGCGGAGGGGCCTCCTTGGTATGAGCTGGCAGGTCCCTTTTTGGGTCTGGGAGCATGCAAACCTTTTTATTTTTTTGGTATAATGGAATTAGTAGCAGCATTTAGTAGCGTAATGATGGATACAGCACTTTCTAGGTCCAAAAAAACAGCTTCCCAAATCATATCACGTTGGGTGTGGTGCGCTACAGCTGGAGAGTGGGGGAAACCCACATAGGTCAAAGGGGAAATGGAGCCCCCACACGGGGATGTAGATGGCCTAGCTGCTGTGGAAAACTGGCTGGCTGGCACGTCTTCAAAAGGTTAAACACAAAGTTACCACAGAGTCGGGTTATCCTGCTCCTGGTTTTAACTACAAAGAACAGAAAACACAGGGCCCTCCCTGGTGGCGCAGTGGGTTTAATCACAGCACTATAAAGCTGTTGCAGCCACGTCAGCACCAGTTTGATCCCAGACCAGTAAGTGACACACAGGGTGCAGCAGGCCTCACCTGACCTGCCTGCTGCTCCCTTCAGTGGTGGTGGGTTTCGGTTGACCTGTCTGTTCTGCACCCCACTCTGTCTCTGGTGAGCCCTTTCACTACCCCCACAGTTCTGGCCTGTACCCCTGTTCTCATCTGTATAAATAAATAAAATCTTTAAAAAAAAAATTGAAAACATACCTCCACATAAAAACTTGTACGTGAATGTTCATTATGGCATTATTTTGTATTCATAAGCTTTGCCAAATGTTCATCAACTTGTAATGAATAAACCAAGCACCCATGCAATGGAGGAGGGCCCAGACACAGAGAGGGCCTGGGAAGGAAGGAAGGCCACAGTGGGACAGCCTTGGACACACTGTGTGGGGAAGCCGGGGCCGGAGCCACAGACAGTGTGCCCCTTTTATGTAAACTCTTCAGGACAGGCAAACCCACAGCCAAAGAAGTAGGAAGTGGGCACCGAGGGTGGGGTACAGAATTTCTTCGTGAGATAAGGAGGCTGTTCTGGCGTTAGATTGTGGGGGTGGTCGTACCACTTTGTGAATAAACTGACTGTACACTGTGAAAAAGTTAAGTTTTCTATGAGTTATAAATTCACAATGAAAAGAAAAACGAACACATTTCAACCAGGGAATTCTGGGCACTTACCCTCATCCCCCAGGAGGTCACCCAGGACATCATCGATGGAGCCTGGAACAGAAGAGGAGCCGACGTGACACAGGAGAAAGGAGAATGTCCTCACAGCCTCCGGCCTGCTCCGGCGCTCTCGCGTCGGGACCAGGGCTCAGTTCTCCCTTCCTTGGCTGATTTCCTGAGGGCCTCCCTGGCCTCGGGGTTAGCCTCAGTGCTGTCACCTCTACCACCTGAGTTCCATCCCTGGCCTGGGAGCTAAACCACACGTCCCCCCGCTGCTCCCCTCGGCAGTGGGTTTCAGTGGATCCGCCTGTCCTGCTCCCCACTCTGTCTCTGGGGAGTCCTCTCACCCCCGCACCTCTGACCTACAGCCTCGTCCGTCTCCAGTTCTTCTATGTGGAAAAAAAAAGAAGAAGAAAGGAAGAGAGGAAGGAGGGACCTCAGAGTAAAACTGAAAATGATGGTGCAGATTTTCAGGAGACCCTAAATTCTACTGGACACACTGGTCAATTAGCCAGTTGCCCACACTCTGAACACAGACTCTGCTTCTGTAGGAAAAGTCTCCAAATTCTAGGCACATACAAGCCTCTGTCACACTGACAGCTTCCTTGTACCCTTCTGTCTGATACCCCCAGAACTGGTCTGGAGCTACGCCTCCTTGGCCACCCCTGCTAAGGAGACAGAAGCCACCGTGAGGGAGCTAGAAAAACTCACGCCAAGGAAACACAGCCAAACAGGTCTAAATGGCTTCTGGATGCTAGATGGGGGGTTATTTTGGTTTCAAGGTGATGGTGCTTCCATCTCCTCACTCACCTTTTAGTCCTTTCTTGGTTTTTGGTGCCTAAATTGGGAAAAACAAACCACGTCAACCAATCAGCCAGCACGTGTTAAAATAGTGCACAGGGTGAGTTTTTATTTTTTTTTTCCAAGTCAACAGAGGAAGACAAAAGCGCGAGAGGCATTTAGGGCTTAATCTTGTGACTTCTTAGATTTCTGAGAACAGACATGTTCAGAGTGTGGGAACAGCCCCCACTAAGCAGCAGGGATACCACTGTGGGTGCCCCAGGGTGGACAGAAGGCAGCTGATTTCCCCAGTGGGGCTGGGGTGTTTCTTTCTAGTTCAAGCCCTGACTCAACACCAGCGAGACACACTTCAAAATGGAAATGACCATTCATTGCTTAGTGAGACAAGCAGTACCAGGAGTACTCACCGTCACTCTTCATCCTGGTCTTTATCTCCCTGTCCCCAAATTACCCCACGCAGTGACCACCCCAGGGGTGAAGGTGGGTGGGCCCACGTTTCCAGACATCTCACTCTGCAAACACCTACCATTCTCAAGGCCCTGGGGGCTGCTTGAAGGCCCCTCACAGCCTGCCCAGCTCATCGGAATCTGCCCACACCAGGTTCATTCTCCCTAGTGCAGAAAAGTAAAGTGGCTGCTTAAAAATGACGTAGCCGTGGCCCTCCCTGGTGGCGCAGCAGGTTAAAGCGCAGCACTGAGAATCTAAAGCCACTCTGCATGAGTTCGATTCCTGCCTGCCCCGGAGGTGACCACAGGGCGCGGCAGCCCTCTCCTGACCCGCCCGCTGCTCCCCTCAGCAGTGGACTTCGTCGATCTGCCTGTTCTGCTCCCCACTCTGTCTCTAGTGAAGCCTCTCGCCGCCCCTGAGCCTCTGGCCTGTACCCCAGCTCCGTATGCATGGATAAATAAATCTTTAAAAAAAAAAAAAAAGACTTAGCCGTAACAACAGTGCTTAAGTCCCAGGCTGATCAAAGCTTCTCCCCTTACCCATTCAAGAATCAAAACTTACTTCCATAAATTAGAAATTATTTTTAGGGGAACAATTTAGGTGAGAAGCAATGTACACTGGGAACGTGAACGAGCTACTGATGGCATGGGGTGACGCTGACGGTGGCACTGTCATCAGTGGTCCTCAGCCCTCATCCCAAAGAAGTCTGAGCTGGCTGGTACCCGCCTTGGAAGGGAAGTGGGTGTCCGCTCTATGGCCAATACACCCTCGGGCAATGCCTAGACTCCTTGCAGGCAGTATTCAGCCGAGCGGATGTGGGTTCCCCTTGACACGATTTCTGCCCGCTGTGGGAGTTTCCCCCGCCCACCCCTGCCCCCTAACATTACCGAGCCCCACCTTCGGCCTGCCTTGGGAGGAGTCAGGGGGACCATCTCTGTTTCTCTGGTGTTGGCCCTCCTGCTGTTGGAAGGGAAAGACACCGGGTCAGTGTGAGCCACTCTGAGCATGCGCTTCTCTCTCTGCAATGGCAAGCCGCACGCCTGCAAGTGCAGACGCCTCCGCTTCACACCGCTTCTAGGGGCCTCTGCATCTGTAGCCCTCGTCCCGCCTCCCCGACCGCGGGCGTTTCCAGAGGTGGCGATGGCCACGGGCGGCCAGTACCGATCGCAGCGTCGCAACTGCTCAGCCAACCCCCAGCGGCATCTTTAAAATGCGCGGCCGCCCGCCCCGCGCAAGGGCTCTCCCGAAGCCCCTCCCTCGGTTGCGACACCAAGCGCCCCGCCAGGTGCGCCCCGCCCGACGCCCAGCGAAGCTTGTGGGCCTCCCAGCCCCTGCAAAGCCCCTGGCCAGGCGCCTGCAGGCGCACTCGCTGGGACCCGTCCCCCTCAGAGCTGCCGGCCCCGGTACCGCTGAGCCCAGCCAGTCAGGCCTCCCGCCCAGAGGCGCCACGAGCGCCCATCTCTGTCGCCGGCCGCCGGAAGAAAGGAGCGCGTGGCATCCTGGGAGCTGTAGTCCGCGGTCAGCTCACGCGCACGAGCCAAAGGGGCAGGGACGCCGGCAGGAACTACATTTCCCTGGGTGCTCGGCCGCGGCCGTTAGCCAGGGCTGGGCCTCCGGTCGCGGCCCGGAGCGTTGCTAGGAGCTGCCCATACGCCGCTTCCGGAGACCTGAGACCTCCTGTCCGCCCGCTCGGGAGGACTAGCGCCCCCGAGGACCAGCGCCCCGGCCCGCAGGGCCGAGCAAAGCTCCCCCAGCACCCTTCTGCGGACTGACTCGTGGGTGGGGCTGAGGACTGCTCGGCTGTTAGACTGATGGGAAACAAACACGAAAGCGTTTATTCCACACCCCTAGGCGTAGGGAAGTCTTAATATTCTAGTCTTGTTAGTGAAGTCCAACCACGAGGCCAGAAGGAAAGCAACACCACACCCAATAAAGACACTTTCCGTGTTAATCACAATTTATTAAGTGTTTAGTTTTACCCGCAGGCCAAGCAGAGCTCCTCCTTGGTGCCCCCACCCCACTGATGTGTCTATCCAGAATGAGAACAATGCAGGAAAACTGCACCGTGAGGAGCAAAACTCAAACCACAACAGTAAAAGGGAAAAGGGAAAGGGATACAAGCCATTTCTTTAGCCCATAACAACTGGAAACCGTCTACACAGCAGTAGTCTGGAGAGTGGAAAATCTCATCTATGAAGCAGGCAACAGTGTTGTTGCAGAACTGTTTTGGTTCAGAATTCTTAACATCACCCCCAATGTCCCATGATCTTACATAAGCAATAGCCCAGTTAAGGCAAAATAAAGCCAAAACATTCTATTTACTATCATGAACTACAGAAAAAGATCCTGAAGAAGTGTGAGTAGCCAAAAGCAAACCCCACTGCCAGACATTTACAATGGAGTCTTTTTAGTCATTTCCATGTGACTTGGTCTAATCTGCTACGAAGATAGTCAACATTGAATTAGCCGAGGGGATCTCTGCATTATTCCATGAAGAGGACGGGCTCTCCGAGTCGGGGGGTCACTGAGACTTTTGGTTTCCTGGCACTGCCCCTCCTCCCGGTGGCAGAAGGGGCCGGAATAAGATCAGCAGCAAATAAGACGACCTGCACCAGCTCCCGACTGGGAGGCTGGAAAGGACTGACAGGGGCAGCGAGCGGCCTTGGTGTGCACTTTCCTTCCCCAGAAAACTCTAGGATCATGAATTTAATATGCTACCTTTTAACTATAAAATACCGGTGGCTGGAAATTATAAACACTGAGTTCTCAGATAGCACAAACGTGGTTCCTGGTGGAATTAAGGCAGCATTCTGGAGGTGAGCTGGCCCTTAGCAGTGCTGTTCTGAGACCAAAGGGGGGAAGGCACCCAAGGCTTTGGGACCAACCGTGCCGAGGTCACTCTGTCCCCACACTGAAGCACATCTCAGGGTGGATCTGGTGGGGCCTAAGAGAAAGACGCTCCAAATACCTGAGCAAGAACCACCAACCAACCCTCATCCACTGCCAGCAGCAAGAATGTGTTATACAGCAACTTTTCAACTCTGTTAAAGGTACTTAAAAAAAATACAAAGAGAGTCATTCATTCTACACCATACTTATCGATTTGGTGAAGAACTGGTTGAAATGTATCTTTGCACCTTTTGTAAAGGCAGCTCGTGAGAGTCCAGCCAGTCATAGGTGGTGGCCTGACCTCACAGACGTGGCCCTGCAGCGGCTTCTCTGCAGCCAGCGGCCAGCAAGCCTGCGGTCAGTCGGGCTGCCGCACGCCACCTCTGCTGACGCCCCCCAGCTGCTCAGGCAGGACCCCACCTTCCGCTTTCTTGTTCTTATGTGTTCCCTAAATGTAAAACCTGTATCTCAAAATTCTGTCTTGAAATGTATGTTTAATTGTGCAGCATTTTCTCCTGGAAGTACAATCCGTGAGGTTTTATTCTATCTTTATTCTTTGATTACACTGAATAAAGTTCAAGGTGAAACATTCCAGTATTAATAAAAATAGTACCAAATATCAGATTTAGCTTTTAAATAAAATTCAAGGTGCCAGACTGAGGTGGCTCTGAACCGACCACGACCAGTCCCAAGCGGCCCTGCCAGGCCCAGACCCCTCAGCGCGCCCAGGCAGGCGTCATTTCCAGCCCCTGAGCAGCTGGCAGCAGCTGCCCCCCCGGGAGTGAATGTTTAAGCACTAACTCTGAAACAGTTCCGTACTTGTCTGGTCATTAGTAAGAAATTTGACCTTGTTATTTCCAGAAACGGAACTATGTCAAATACACCTACAGGGACGCCCTGAGCACCTCCCGCCAGTCCTGCCACTTCCAGCTGGTCCTCGCGGCGCGAAGCTGGGGCCGTGTCAGCATTCCCAGGCAGCTTCTGCTGCCCCGCGGCCCGGACAGCTTCCAAGGCAGGCACTGCAGTCCCACGGACTACCACCTTCGTCTGAAGACTGGCTCCAGAGCTGGTTTCGTGAGGCGGATGACACAGACAGTTAACAGGTCAGAAACAGTCAAGTGACATGTTTTCACTGATTTCAGAAAAAAGGCAGGAAGAGGTACACGTGTAATCTTCAAGCAGAATGATTGTATAAATTAGATCTGAGCTGACAGGACAATGTTAAAATTCAGGTAAAACTCAGGGAAACATTAGGAAAAAGCCAGATAAAGCCGGATATATATGGCGGGAAGTCCTTTATCTATATTTTCAATGATTATATTTTCTGAATCAAAAATCAGAGCGCACAGTTTATGAAAGAATTTTTCTGTGCTACTCCTGGGCACAGGAGACCTGAGTGACACTTTTACTTTTGGAGTGCCAAATATCGTAACCTCCAAGCATTTTAATGGCTTATACCAAGATATCTGATATTTGGATTGTTCCAGAAAATCCAATTGACATGATCACTGAAGTTACAGTAACTGTAACAGAGTTTTTCCATGAATTCTACTAAGAACAACCGTGACTTTCCTCTTCCCTTCAGCAGCTCTTTTAGGAAGGGAGAGAAGAGGGAGGGAGGGGAGCTGCCCAAAGCCCTGCGTGCAGATGACTCGGCCACCTGCCCGTCCCATAGCCGGGGACGCGGAGTCGCGCTGCTGCCAGAATGGCCGCAACTCAGGAACCCTCTGAAGGGAAGATTCACTCCCATGGCACGCCACAGCGATGACCCCTGCAGGAGGCTTCCCTGCAAACGTCCCGAGCTGGAAAAGCGCCCCCTGGAGAGCCAGCCGGGCGGGGAGCAGAGGGCAAAGGGTGAGCAGGAGGAAAGGCACCAAGCACAGTCAGGGTCGCGAGTCCTTCCTCCCCAGCCCTTTTCTTCAAGGCTTTTCAGCCTGGTTCCAGGGAAGAAATTGAGCAGGAAAGCTAGGAAAGGTTCCACGCCACTTAAAATACCTTTTGGAAACACTTATATATCCAGTGCTGCGCACGCAGGCCGTGAAGTTCTGCTAAGGACGAGAGTCACGCCTGCCGGGTCGGCAGCGTTGCAGAAGGACTTGACTGCATCTCTTAAAGCTCCTTGTGAAGGCTTCACGGGTCTCCCTTAGTGTTAACTGCACTTAGAACACAGCCATTTTTTCATTTAATCTCGGAAATCTGTTCATTGCTTCTTCATTTATAAAAAGAGGAAAGGGGTTGTCAATTTTTCATTTGCTCTAGGCTCTCGGAGTTGGACAGAAACTCCAGACAGATTAGTGTGCAAGGTGTGAGGGGAGAAGTAGACACGGCGGCTTTCGGCAGCAGGACGCCTGGGCACGTCAGAGCTTGGACTGCAGAGGCTTCAGGTACTTGTGGTAGGACTCATGGACCTTCAGGGGAAGGAGCGAGAAGAAATAACTGCAAAGGAGCTCGCAGTGTGAACAGCCCCGCTTTCGGAAAGTCGAGTCTGATAACCCTGTTCACCAAGCGACACTTGGGAAGCCTGCCCACCGCTGCCTGCTCGCCCACCCTCGCCCACACCTGCCTGCCCCTCCCCAGGCAGTCACAGTATCTTTCACAGTCTGAGAACTACAAGTGACTTTTCATGGAAAAATTATCCGGATGCTATTTGGAAGGGAGGGGCAGGGGGCCAGTGGGGGGATCCGGACTCAGGTTTGCGACACTCCAGGCGGCTGTGATGGGTGTAGGTTGAGAATGGCGCCGTGGCTGTGTTCCTGAGAGTGCTTGTACTTGGGGTGAACTGCCTACAGGTGAGCTAACCGCCCTCGGGCGCGCGCTGCCTTGGTCTGGGGAGGGCTGTGGGCGACGTTCCTGAGGTGGGACGAGGGCAGGGCGAGTGTGACCTGTGCCCCACGCCGCGCATGGGCCTCCTCAGCTAGTTATTGGGGGCCCGGGACTGACACCCGCTCACTGAGGCAACGAGTTCTTTCTGAACCTGCAGCTCAGGAAAGTGGCCGTGGGCGTGGGTCTGCTCCAGCCTTGACGTTTAACGGAAGAATTTTTAAAGGTGGAAAGCCAGGTTTCTCACCTCGGTTTTATTCAGTGGGGAGTTCTTGGCCCACTCAAACAAGTTTTCATACACATTCCCGTCGTAGCGGCCCAGCACCGAGCCCAGGACAACGTCCTTAAAGTCGAAGGCGTCCACCAAAGCGACGGCGTCCGGGCGGATTGCCGTCAGTAACTCCTTCACACGCTGGTTTACTTGTGTAATTTGAGATTCTGTTAATATGCTCCCCTAGAAGAAACAGAACAAGTAAACATGCGAGTATGGCCTCCCGGTGGCGCGAAGGGCTCAGCCAAGTCCCAGCACTGTGAAGCTGCCACCGCCCCTGCAGCACGGTCCGACCCCCGCCAAGGAGGGACCCACGGGGCGCAGCGGACCCCGCCTGTCTCCTTGCTGCTCCCTCAGCTGTGTTTCAGTCCATCCACCTGTTCTGCTCCCCACTCTGTCTCAGCCCCCTGCACCTCTGGCCTGCACTTCAGTTCTTGTGTGCATAAATAAATCAACCTTTAAAAAAACACCCAAATACATAAATAAATCAACCTTTAAAAAAACACCCAAATACATAAATAAATCAACCTTTAAAAAAACACCCAAATACGTAACTACATACGTAACTCTCTAAAGGAGACAGACCCCTCCCCAAAGGGACTGAAACCCAGAGACACCGACCTGCAGGAAGTCTCCTGCCTGCTGACTGATCCCATACATGCAGTACAAGAGACACAGAGTCCTTAACACAGCTTGGACGGATTCATCCTGAATTTTGAGGAGCTTCTCGGAAAAGAGCTTCGCTACCACATAGTGGCAATGTGCCTGTCGAGCGAAAGAGTGGGAGGGGGCAGCTCTGAGCCAGACTCAGCACAGTGGCTGGGGTTTCCGAACTGAGGAAGTGAAGGGGGTGGGCTGGGTAGGCCGGGGGCGGGGGAGGAAGGGCCTTTACCCACCTGGCTGGCTTTCACCAGGTCGACTGAAGTTAGGTTCCAAGCCACCTCCTTGCTTTTTTTGTGCATCACTTCAGTTTGAAGGTTTTTTGCAGCAACTTCTACTAATCTGTTAAGATACGAAAGAAAATGGGAGCCCCGTGGAAATGACGCACGGCACTTGCGGCCTCTCTGCTCGCCTCGGCCAGATGGTGGACGGACGGCACCCTGTGGCGAGGGCCCCCGAGGGTGCACACCTGGCCGCACGCAGCTTGTACGCTTCTGTCAGGCCATCGGGGCTGTTGATGTCCACCACGGCCGGCCAGACGGCCACCTGCTGAGGCTGGATGCGCTGGCTGGGCAGGTCGTTCAGGTAGGACACCATGCCACACACTAACTTCCCGGAGTGCACCTGCTCGTAGCTCTTCATCAGGAACCTAGAAGCCACCAGAAATGCACGGTCTCGTGACATGTGCTTCTTGAGAAATGAAGTTAAGCTCTTGTCCCTTTAAGCTACTTAACGGGTTTCCCACTGGAAGGTGCTGAGCCCAAGATAAAGCAGCGGGTCAGGAGGGCGGGCAAAGCTCCACCTTTAGGAACTAACATGACAGGAGAGGCCAGGGGGCGCCTCCGCAAAGGACAGGGGCAGGCTCGGGACAGGGTCCTGGCTCCACACCCACCTGGCCGTCTGCAACATCATGACAGTGTTTTCTCCCTCAAAGGTGCACGCTGGCGTGAAGTTGACGTAGATGTTTGGAAGACCACTGCAGTGGGAGTAGCCATGGCCACCGCAGGCCATCCGGCAGGCTTCGATAGCCGCGTTAGTCGTCCAGGAGGTGAAAGCCTTCAGGCCGGCAGTGAGGGCGTGAAGCTGAAGGGGAAGAGCACAGGGCCTGGAATATGGGGCGCTGAGCCTCTGAGCCCACATCATCAGCTAACAGCACCTGCCACTGCTGAGGGCAGCCGCTGCGTGCACACAGAGGACACACAGTCCTCCAGCGGCCGGAGCTAGTGACACGCCAGCTCCCTTCTGAACTGGCCCAGACACAGTCCCTGCTTGTGCGCCGCTGCTTAACAAGTGACCGCGTCGCAGTGCAGTGCCGAAGCCCAGACACAAACCCCACAGGCCTCCCTGCTGCTAGGGGCGAAGTCTTAGCGCTATCACCACTGTGGCCAGAGAGTAACCTCTCCTGTCTCCACGCTGCTCCTCTCAGCAGTGGATTTTAGCAGATCCCCTTATTGTGGTCCCCACTTTGTCTCTGGTGAGTCCTCTCATCCCCCCATACCTCTGGCCTGCACCACAGGTCTTTTATAAACACACACACAAAACAGAAAACCCAAAACAAGAAATTCTTTCTATCTGATCTACTTAGAGTCAGCAATAGGTCTGCCTCTTTCAACAATATAGGGACTTTTGCAAGAAATCACGAAGTCTCGTTTTCTCTGAGCGTTATCTAGCAAACACGAGACAGGCGCCCACGAGAGAACGAGACACAGCACGCACCTCGGGGAGCTCGCTCAGGTCCCCATGGCCGATGTCTTCGTTGATCCGGTGATAGGTCTCCTTCATGTAGGCACCCACGAACTGGAAGGCGTAGGCCGTGGCCAGAAGCGGAAACAGCTTGTACTGCTGGGTTTGAAAGTCCAAGATCTGTGGCTCCGGCTCACTAAAGCGTGTAAGAGAAAGAAGCCAACACTCACACAGAGCTCGGTGCGGGGCTACTCCGACGCTGGGCACTAACTGGCCTCCTGAAGACCCCGTGTGGGGCACTACATCCCCGCTTTACAGGTGGGGAAAAGGATGGATGGACGACCCGAAGTCACAGTCATAAGGGACGGAGCGTGATGTCAGCCTGGCGGTCCGGCTATGGGAGCGGCTGTGCTCTGGCCTCCCTGCTGAGCTGCTGGCCAGTGCCTGTCTCAGTCCTTCCAGCGTGACGAGGGAAGGCGGTCTCTTGACAATGTGCGCTGCCCACAGCCAGTTAACCTCCCAGGAGGAACACTGCCCTCGAAGGCCCAACCCACCAAGCGGCTGAGTGAAGTGCTGGGCCAAGGCCGTGGGGAAGACCCAAAGCAGAGAGGTAAGTGCCTGAAGTCTAGGAAGGGCCCTCACTCCCAGTTTCCTGTGTTCAGAATAAAAGGCCACTGGGAGGTCAGGCCAAGCGAAAGCACCAGGAGACGCACAGTGGGGAGCAGGCTTATATCACCCTGGTCTCAGCTGGTGACTGCCGTCAGGAAGCCAGAATGCTCAAAATGCCTTTGGTGGCTCCAACGCTTCATGTACAGAATACAAGTACTATCACTACTATGGGTAATGTCACAGGCTATGGGTAAGAACAAGGTTGACATTCTCCTCTTCGGCCTGGGGACGGAGGCCAGGCCCATGCGGGCCAGCACATGCCACCGCCCACCTTGCCCTGCTGACACACGGCTCTACGCCTCGGTCGGGGGTTGACACTTGAGTGGGGCCTCCGGCACTGACCTGTCACCCCAGACGCCGGCCTTACCCAGGCTTGATTTCCGACTGGTGCCGTACGGCGCTGTAGCGGATGGCGATGGTACAAGCCTTCGACAGGCTCCGAGCAGCTTCCCCCACGAGGAAGGACCTGACGAACACCATGGTCCCATAGGTGAGCTTGTTACTCAGGGGTTTCACGTACGTGCCGTCGGGCTTCACCTGGAAAAAGAACACAAGGGTTGTGTCCTTCTGTGAAAGCCAAGTGGAGCCAGGCCGCTGGCTCCCAAAGCGAGGTCCCGCGGGCAGCGTGAGCATCCCCTGGGAGCCGGTATGAAACTCGCACCCTCAGCCCCCACCCTGGCCTCTCTCAGCCAGCTCTCCAGATGCTCCTGGTCTGGGCTAAAATTTAAGACCCACTGCTTCAGAGAATCAGAGTGAACTCCTATACCTGGCAATGCTTTTGACTTCACTGCCCTAGGAAAGCAGTATCGTAGTAAAAACATACTCCTTATGTTTTGAAAGCACAGGGCCGTCGGACCCCGTCCTGTCAGCACCACGAACCCCCTGCGGCACATGGCACATGGCACACCTGGGCATACTTCATCAGCATGTTTTCTCTGGGAATACGGTAGTTGTCCATCTTCAGGTAGCCGTTATCCATCTCGTCATAGCCAAACTTGGGTCCGATGTCTCCGACGGTGATACCTGCCACACGCGGGGAGGTCAGAGTTTACCCTCACACCCTTGGCTCCCCGCTTCTGGGGAGCATTACACCTCCCAGCGCAGGAAAGTAACTGGTTTATCACTTCTCATCTCAACCTTGGAGGAACAGTCCTAACCTGGCAAGGGCTTATGGGTCCCAATTTCCCGGATGGGCACGATGAAGGCGTGTAGTCCATAGCACTTCCCCTTGGTGATGAGCTGGGCAAGGACGATGGCATGATTTGAGGTCTTTCCAACTGCAGCATCAAAGAGACGAGAGAGAGACGTAAGCAAGCGCCCTCACCGCACCAGAGGAGCGAGAGTCGGAGAGGTGGGTCTAAGCACACCAGCCTGTGGGAAGCAGCGTGCCCCGCCCAGCTGTCAGCAAGAGCACCACTTCATGATTAACGCCTGCGGGTAAGCAGTCCTCCATTTCTGTCCGCATGGGCAAACTTCTAGAACAGGGGATACTTATATTGTGTACACTCAAGTGTACAGTGTGTTGATTTGATAGCAATCCCTCACTTAAAAAAATGCTTTCTTATTTCTCATTCATTCTGAAAGAAAATTTTAGGGCAAACATAAGAACTTTCATTTAAATCACTTCTCTCCTCCCTTAGGCGATGCTGTGCACAACAGCTGAATCGCACCGTCTGTTCCCATCTAACTAATTAAGTTGGGGATTCTGCTCCCGATCGACCGGCCAGAGCCCAGGAGCCGCCGCGCAGGCGGTGGCTGGCAGTGCGAGCTGCAGACACGAGCGCCTTCCGTCAGGGAGAGCTGCTGAGTGCTGTCTAGTGAACACCTCCAGAATACTTACGCTGCGTCCAAGCTCGACTTTTCTTACCAAAATGTCCATGTCGCATGAATAACAAAAAGATAGCTGTGGAGGCTGCGCTGATGCAGAGGCATGTTCAGACGAAAAACTAGAAAGCAGAGTAGCCAGCTACCCTGTCTGTCTCTGTGGACACAGCAGGCCCTGTCACACACCAGACTGCCACAAGCTCAGGGGGCTTAAGCCTGAAGGTCTTTCCCCCATATTTCAAAATCATTTTCTCACATAAGCTGCTCCTCGTAAACACAGTTTTGTAATACGACTTCAAAATATCAAAAAATGCTTCAGAAAGCCACTTACGGCCACCGGGCCACCACTTGATGGACGTGACGGTCGGACTGTTGAGAACGAACTCCTGCGTCTTAGGGTCATAAGTGGCGGTGGTTTCCAAGCCTCGAAGGTGAGTTCCTAGGACACAAGTTCCACTTAGTTCCGACATACTCTGGGCAGGAATCGGCCTGGGGTAAGATCGCCCACCCAGTTTTTTAAGCTCTAGTATCTCAAAGAAAATCAAGATCTAGTGACAGCAGGTGGCTCTGGTCTCAGACAGTGCCCGGAAGCTGAAAGTGTGCACACCGACGGCTCATGCAGGCCACTCAGGCCAGCCAAAGCCCAGCTCAGCGTTGCGGCTTCACCCAGTCACAAGTGGGATGTTAACAGGGAAGGGAAAGGCCCATTTCAAGCCAGTATGGCGTGGCCAGTTTCAGGCTGTGCATGCTGTGTACACACCCCTATGGATACGCTGGGGTTTTCCACTATTACAAATACTGTAATGCAGCAGGAAAAGACTCCTGCTGAAGCTGCTGTAAACGGGGGCCGTGTTTCAGAACGCAGCCAGAGCAGCGAGCGTGCCCTTGAGAGCTCGCTCAGCACAGGGCAGGCCCTAGCTGGCCCTCTGGGCTTCTTGCAGGCCAGTGAGGCTTCGACTGCACCCCGTTCCCAGCTGGTTTCATCTGAGTGCTGGCGTCAGGGACTCCCGTCTGACACCCTGAAGCAGATGTGCAGAAACTCCCAGAAGAGCTGCGCTCTCCGCGCCCCTCCCGCACCGGCCCTGCGTGGAAGTGCCCGAGAAGCCTGAGGCACTGCGAAAGCCAGATCTCAGGGACACTCAAACGTGAACACCCAGAGGTACTCAAGCGAGGAACGGAGACAGCCGGTCTGGGAGACCCCAAGCGTCCCGAGTGGGGGACAGGCACCAGGCACACAGGCCCCTTCCACCAGCAAAGCGCTCGGAGGACGCGGGGCTACCGAAAGGACACAGACAACGCGTCCAAACGCACACCTGAACCCAACAGTATTCCACTTTGAATCTTGCGAAAATCCCACGAAATACTATTTAGTACTAAAGCCGAGCGCCGAATTAGTTGTAGAATTAAGGCGAAGTTGTCCAAAAGGAAGGAGCAAGTGGCAAACAGACATCAGCCTGTTTTCCTGAAGCTGCCGAGCAGAAAGAGAGGCTGAAGCAAACAAATGGCATTCAGAACAGAGGGAAACAGGAGGACCCCTTCAGACCTCCCCGCTTCAAAATAAGGTGGTAGGGGGTGACAAGCCAGGCGCTGGACACGGTGGGAAGCCTGAGGCGGGAGGAAGGCTCACCGCCCCATCGGTGGCCTCTGGCCAGCCACCTGGAGTGCATGGCCGAATCTGGCTCCAAGGCCCACAGCGCGGACAGGCCGCGATGAGCCACTGTCTCCCTCAAACAAGCCAGAGAACACAGACGACTCATCTGCCTATCCCTGGGACTCGTGAGCACGTGAAGGCGGCAGCAGAACAGGCAACCGGACAGGGACAGAGACGACAGGCTGGGTTCAGCTTACGGCACACGCCGATACACCGGTGACCCTGAAAAGCCCGAGTAAACACGGTCTGGCCTGTAACCCTGGCTGCGGAAAGGCCACCGGCAGCCTCTGTGGCAGTGCAGCCTTTACCGCCCACTGGCCAAGGCAACATCTGGGCCAAGACTCGAGGCGGAAGCCGACTGTGCGCGGCCGGTCCGGCGGACACCCGCGGGGGCGCCGCACGCACACGGCTCACGGAGCCCCGCCCACCCGGAAGAGACTGAACGCACCGTACCATGACCCATCTCTGTCTGGGCATAAGTGCCAATGACCTCCAAGTTCCAGGCGGGCATGAAGAAGCGCTCCTGCTGTTCCGCGGTTGCCTGGTGAAGCAAGGTGGGCAGGAACATGCCCAAGTGGAGATCCAGAGGCTCAGGTCGCCCTCGGTGCGCAAAGCTTCGAAGAAATACCACGGGTGGGCATTTGAGAGAGGAGTCATCAGGGGAGAGGGAGATAGCAATTCGAACAGAGAGCAAGGGAAGAAAAAAAAGCCTCCTGTAAGTACGGGTTAGCTGGGCGGCCCGGCCGGTGAGAGCACTGTCCCTTCTGTATGGCTTCAATGCATGCGCCGCTGCCTTCTGCGGGACCGTCAGGGAGCAGGCTCACCTCCCTCGTCACCAAGGCAGTTTGGGTAATGCTTCTAGGCAGCAGGATTTTGTTTGTCCACCAACCCAGCATGGACAGATCTAGTCTCACTAACTCTGGCCACTGTGTTCCGATTCACAAACTCTGCAGCCATGTGCTGCTGAAACAATTTAATACAGAAGTTGACAGTGCTCGTCATTGGCATTTCAATAATTTCAGAAATTAAAAAGGCCCGGGCCTTTCTGGTAAAGGCCATCATCGTAATTACAAATAACAGATGCATGCATAACAAACTTTCCGAGCATAAGGAACTTTCTGCTGCAGGTGCTGAGGACTCGTCACCCGCGCACAGTCACCATAGTGTCTAGTCATTGAAATGCACTTTCTAAGGTTATTGGCCCCCACCACTTCCTATTTGCAGGAGCCTCAGACTTCTCTATATTTATTTTTCCTAGGAAACAGTTCTACGTGATTCTGCACTCCACAAGTGCCTGGCACCATGTGTCGCTGTCTGTCACCTGTATTGCTCTTTCTGCTTTGTCTCAGCTCTGAGCCGGAAGATCTTAGTTTTATGATGTCTCTGTCTGTTCCGTGGAAGGGAAGGAGGATAAGACCCAGGATACAGAGCTCGGGCAGGGCCGGTCAATGATGTCTTGTCACCAGACAGCTGAGTCACACAAAAATCAAATACTATGTGACTTCCTCATCTTACAAAGAAATTAATGCTGAGATGAGTTAAGTGCCTCGGGTCAAAGATACTGGCACAAAACAAGGATCTCCTGTCTAGCTGGCCAGACGACGGCACCAGCACAAGCTAGCCGAGGACGAGGACGGCCCCTGCATGCCTGGCCAAAACCAGGGCTGGCGGGGGGGGGGGGGCCTGGGCAGGAATCCTGTGAGATGCCACAGCCGTGGAAGTGGGTGAAAGGGCCACATGCTGCTCTAAGCTAGTTTTGCAACTTCCGACTTCCTTTCAAAACAGAGTAAAAAAAAAAAAGTGGGAATTCTCATAAAATCATACCCATGGCATTAGAGAGTACCTTTCACTCACAAACAGAAATGCCAGCTTGTTTTTCAAAGAATAATGCGAGGCATTAAAAAACCATGCATGCCTAGGGCCTGCAAGGAGAAAAGCTTTGGAACTACCACCAAAAACTGGCTGGAGACCAGCCACTCTACTGTTGAAAGGCTACTTTGCATTACTAGAAGCTAGATGGCAAAAACAAAGAAAAAGAAAAAAAGAGTCCAGGCCCGTTTCCAGCGAAAGCAGTCAGGCCCCGGAGTTCCACACAGGCTGTGCTGGGGCAGTCCCCACGCCGAAGGCCGGTAAACTGCCACAGCCACACAGTGTTTGGAGGCTGAGGAAATGTTTTCAGGAGAAAACCGGCTCATGTATCTAAGATAAGGATTATGCAGAAGTGGGCGAAATTCAGAAATGTCACATGGAGATAGCGGCTTCAGTCGCTCTGACTTTAATCAAGTACTTGTAAAAAAGTTGGTTATGCATGGTAATGATCATATATTACCTTCAAGTAATCTATTTTAATAATACAAAGCACTGTTTTACTTGATGAAGCTCTAGAGTCTGTTGTTTTAAAACCACAATCCCTAAAAGAATAACATACAATTATAACCCAGAAGGCCCTCCTAGTCTCTCCTTCCACGTGATACAGGACTGGCAAGGCTGGCAGTCACTCTGAGGGCAAAATGATTAGATTAGTAAGTGAGAAAGGAGAAATCAAAGTAGCACCTCCATGGACGGCATGATTAAAACCCTAGGAAATCAATGACAAAATTCCATCAATAATAAATTACTTTTGAAAAGCTGTAGGTTATAAGGGGGTAAAAATCACAGCATTCTTATCCATTACAATGGTACAAGTAAAAATCCCAGTGAGAGCTGATTTACAAAGGCAACAAAGTATGTAAAATTTGTTAGTGACTTAATTTAGGATATTAAAGATTTAAGAAAAAAAAACTTAATAGGATGGATAAAAGCTATGAACAGGATAGAAATTGCTAGTTCCTGGCTGAAAGGTCTAAATAAAGATAATCCTTCTCAAGAAAATACAGGTACTTAAGGTAACATGATTTCTAAATCTCTGTACAATGTATTTTTAGAACTTGACAAACTGGGGTCAAAATTCATTCAGAAGAGTATGCAAGAATACCAAACTTATATTTCAATGTAACAGTAATACTATTCAGCTTATCAAATTGTAAACTACCTGATAAAGCAACAACTAGCCAAAGTTTATGTTAGGAGAAAAAGGAACAAGTCAAGGGGATGTAGTTTAAAATTCCAGAAACAGATGGAAAATTATTATTATTATTATTTTTTAAAGATTTTATTTATTTGTGCATACAGAACTGGGGTGCAGGCCAGAGGCTCAGGGGCAGTGAGAGGCTTCACCAGAGACAGAGCGGGGAGCAGGACAGGCAGATGGACGAAGTACACTGCTGAGGGGAGCAGCAGGCGGGTCAGGAGAGGTCTGCCGTGCCATGTGGTCACCTCCGGGGCAGGCGGGAATCGAATTCATGCGGAAGCGGCTTTTTTTAATTCTCAGTGCTGTGCTTTAACCCGCTGCGCCACCAGGGAGGGCCGGAAAATTATTTTTTTAAAAAAGATTTATTTATGTATGTAAGAACTGGGGTACAGGCCAGAGGTGCGGGGGGAGGGGTGAGAGGATTCACCAGAGACAGAGTGGGGAGCAGCAGGTGGACTGACAAACACTGCTGAGGGGAGTAGTGAGGAGACAGCGAGGCCTGCTGTGCCCTGGGGGTCCCTCCCTGGCCGGGGATCACACTTGCGCTGCAGTAGCTCAGACAGCCCCCAGGTGCTGCGCTTCAACCCACTGCACCACCAGATGGAAAATTATAAAACGGTGAGATGAACCGGAAAGCACATTCAAACAACGAGAACAATGAACAAACTAGTTAATAAACACAGAAAACAGTAGGGACTCACTTGTCATTCTGTGACACGTACAAGTCAGTGCATGAAGCATAGTCCAAACCAAAAATAAGAAGAAAACATAAGATAACATTATCTGATAACATTATCTGAGATAAGGGCAAAAGAAAATTTAATCCTCTTTAGAGAAGGATGAATTGACTAATAAGGCCAAAATGTTGAATGAAACAGAAGGCAACAGCAAATACTGCAAGCACAGGATATAATTATTCAAACCAATATACAAGTTCTATTTAATAAGCGTCGTTTAGACACAGGTCACGCAGACTGTAAGCCGACCCGCATAACAACAACCAGGTTCTCTAGGACTGGAATTTTTTTTTTAAAAAAGATTTATTCATGCATCCAAGAACTGGGGCAGAGGCCAGAGGTGAGAGGATTTACCAGCAGTAGAGGGGGAGCAGAATAGTCAGATGGACAGAAGCGCGCTGCTGAGGGAGCAGCAGGGGTGACAGGAGAGTCGGCTGCGGCCTGTGGTCACCCCGACAGGGATCACACTGGTGCTGCAGCGCGCTTCCTAGCATGCATTTTAACCGCTGCACCACCAGGGAGGGCCCTAGGACCGGAAAATTAAATCTGACTCTCAGTATGTATTTAAGTAGGAAAAAAAAATTAAAGTAGCCATGTAGATGGGGTGATGGAGGCACGAGTACACTAATAAGTTGCCAAGTCTGTCAAAAACTGGTTAAATGTTTAAGAAAGTCTTGAACTCTGTAATGGAAGTTGTCCAGTGCTCATTACCTTCAAGCAATTCATTTCTGACAAAGCATTAAAAACGCATAACCGGGTTATGCAGCACTGCAAGCTGGCCACAGCCGCTTCAGTGCGAGTTCGAGTCCCGGCCCAGAGGTCAGTGACGCACATGGCACAGCAGACCTCTCCTGGCCCGCCCACTGCTCCCTCAGCAGTGGGCTTCGTCCATCCGCCTGTCCTGCTCCTCACTCTGTCTCTGGTGAAGCCTCTCACCGACCCTGCACCTCTGGCCTGTACCCCGGTTCTGTGTGAATAAAACAAACAAAAACGCATACCCCCCAAGAACACAGTCTTTGTTAAAGAAGTTTACAGGCATTTTTATGGTCATAGCAGCAGTGGGAAATTAGAAGAGCCCAGGTGGGAAAGAGCTTATTCGGGGCACTTCAGAGGAACAGGACACAGCTGGGAGATGGCGCCGGAGAAATGGACACAGCCCGAGAAAGAAGGTGCTTTATGTCTCTGGCGTCTCAGCTACAGGGTCTGCAAAGGGTGGCACCGCCCGAGAGCAGTGACCGCGTGCTCCACTCTCCGGGGCGGCCAGCGCGACAGTAGAGCCGACACAAAGCAAGGCCGAAGCTCCCTGGGGATGACCAAAAATCTGAAGCCCAAACCAGCCCGGGCTGTGTGGTGAAAGGCATGGACAGAGTGGCCAACGCCCAGCCTGGCCCCCGGCAGCGCTGGGTTCACGGAGGCCCTCTGCCAGGCCTCTGCCTCTGACTGGGGCGCGCAGGCCATGTCGGGCATCGGGAGTCGTGCGCCTCAGAGGCAGGCACGAGTCTAGAGGACGAAGACACGTTCTGGAGGACAGAACCTGGTTATGGAAACTGCAGGCGACTGCATAGAGCGCTCCTGGGACAGCGAGCCCGACTGCTACTCAGTCTCTTAGTCTCAGTGGCTATGGAGAAGGGAAAGAACCCAAAAGTTAAAGTTATAGCCAATTCTGTGAAAATCTTTTTTTTTAGTATAGAAGTACTGGGGTGCAGGCCAGAGGTGCAGGGGGGTGAGAAGATGCACCAGAAACAGTGGGGAACGGAACAGGCAGACCTCTGAGTGCACTGCTGAGGGGGCAGCGGGAGACAGGTGCCTGCTGCGCCCCATGGGCACTCCCTGGCTGGGGATGGGATTCCGGCCATGGGGTGCTCGCACTGAGACTTAACCCCTAGGCTACTGGGGAGGCCCCTCTGTGGGAATCTTTAGATAATTTGTATTTTTAGATAACCATGGTGGAATAGTCCGTGTTCCCGTTTCAGAACTAAATACATAAATGTGCAATGTGCTTTATACACAGGACAGAAGAGCTAGGCCGACAAGCAGTCACGACATTCAGACCCACTGATCCTCAGAATCGCTGACATTCAAGCCTCCCGTGAGTGACATCAAGTCAGTGTTACTAGAGGCCATAAGATAAAGAGGGTTGGGTACCACACATCATTTCCTTTCCCTGTGCACTCATCTCTCCGCCAGACGACTGAATATGAAGAGCATCTTCCTCCCTTACGACACTTTCTTCAGGCTCTTTATTTCAGCACTGATCACCCTGAAGCGAAAGCTAAAGTCTTGGGTGTTCATAACCCCAAGACTCAGGACCAGACCCTGCACTCCCATGGGGATCACGGTAAAGAACACTGCCTCGGACCGGCCACAATCAATCAGCGCCACGTCAAACACAGAAGCTCGGCCTCCTTCTCCTGCCCTCCTCCCCTCTCCGCTTGTCTTTATTTGCGTAATCAGTGTAAGAATTAGGTGTGTGCCTGGCAGCTCAAATTCAAGATGCTCAAACCTGTCTATGGCCTTTTCTATGTGAAGGAAGCTTCCACAAAACTTTCTGAAAGTAGCCATTTTGTGAACAGTTTAACCAAGTCTACAGACGTGTACAGGAAAACCCTGTGAACCGTGACTGCCAGAGCCAGACAGAGCCACCGACCCCCAGGCCCCGCCCACTAGCCCCTCTGTGGGTGAGGGCAGAGTAGGGCCTCTTGCTGCGCTCACCTTCCATCCCCATTAAAACTCTATTTAACGTTATTAAAACACGGCAACTTCCAGACGTTGCTGGTACAGGAATATCATTCGTGAGAATTCCCAACAGTCTTTTAAAAAGGAAACACCGACAAAATGCTTGGGCTCATTTCCAGCCTCAGCTTTACAAACTGCTCAGCACCCACTAACACGGGGTCTACGTCGCAATGGTAAAAGGCTTTAAGAAATAACAACAAAGGCTGTTTCAGGCCAGAGTCCTAAGCCAGTGTATGAGGGGACGACCTATGAGAAAAATGGAAAGCTGGATTTTATTCAAGATTTAACAACTTAAACCAAAACCCCCAATGTGTGGTGGCTGAACCAAACCCAAAGGCTGGGAGTCATTTGACTGAAGTCCTGAGGTGGGTTACCCGACGCCCCTCAAATGCGGACTAACCGTGGCCCAATTCCGTCTGGGCGTAGGTGCCAATTATCTGGAGGTCTTTGGATGAAAGCAGCCATTTCTCTTGCTGAGCAGTGGTGCCCTGATTCAGCAAGGTAGGAACAAACATGGAGTAATTGAGGCCCACAGGTTCCACAAAATTGACCAAATGTAGTCTACAGGAGAGAAAAGAAAAGGGTCTCAGCCTTGCTCTCGAAAGCGCATCCTGCCACCCATCCTTGCCAAGCAGCGTGGCCCTGGAGTGAGCGTTAGGAAAACAAACTCCTCTCGTATGAAAGTAGCCGCAAGTCCTGTTCCCAAAGCTGGTGCTATCTGTTGGTTGGCTACTTTGCAGCGTGTGTTTGTTTTCTCCCTTAGGCTTTACCTGTTTTGAGACTCAAAAGGAACTCCACAGCTGATTATAGAGCTGGTCACAAAATCCCCAAGACTAAACTTGCTCTCCCTCAATAACTGTACCGCCGAGGTACAGTGAACGGTCTCCCAGCGCAGACGCACCAAGCCCTCAGGCCGGCGGGCTACAGGCGGGCAAGCAGATAACGTAAGTCAGGACTTATCACTCAAGTCTTTGAACACGACTTGAGATGAGCTCTAACCACAATAAACCCAGTCATCAATGATCTTCTAATGAAACAACATCCAGGAAACAGTCACACTACAAACGGCACCCAGTCTCGGCTGTGGCCCTCCCGTGTTCTCTCTGCAGAGGCCAAGAGCACAGGCCCAGAGTGAGCTGAGCTCCGCGACCCAAGGGTCAGGCGAAGTGGCGGCTGCAGTCTGGCCCGGCCTGCGCAGCGGGAGGGCCGAGGCGGGCCAGGGAGGTGGGCGGCAGTGCACAGCAGAGGCCTGACGCCTGCTCCAGCTTCAGGAAACAAAACAGTAAACACAACAGGGCGTCTTACTGTTTCACTGCGATTCATAACAGACGTGGAAACAAACAATTCTGTACATGTATAAGCTGCTCAAGCATCAACGTCGGTGACTGGCCGGAACCAGTTCAAGTGACCACTGCACGTTCCGCCAGAGTAACGGCGGAGCCCTAAGTCACGTGCAGGAGTCAACAGAGGCGGCTCGAGCCCCGGTGAAGAATGCTCTTCGCTGTTGAATGTGTTCACTCAGGGGTCTGGGTGGAAGGTCGCCTTTGGGGGTGGGGAGGATGGCAACAGACTCAGAATTCCAAACATGTTGGATTAGCATTGAAAAATACTTTTTAACTCTGAGATTTTACCAGTTTCACACCACTATCAAAGGCTGATTCTTTTCCAAATGTTAACTGGAGCTGAGTGAGGGGGACAGGGGCCTGAGAGGCGCGTCCATCCTGGCCAGTAACTCCGCACTGCGTGAGCAGAGCGCACTGTCCGCACAGCTGCCTCGCCGCAGTGGGGCCTGCCGGGAGATGACCCAGGTCGTCCTCTCAAAGAACGGGCACCGCAGTCCTCCCGGACAATCACATCTTACTGAGAGGACGTGGACACACACGAATTTCTGTGGAATAAAAGCAGGGCGGCGCCAGGGCAGAACCAGGGTGGCCCGAGACGGCGCTACACCCAGAAGGCCCAGAGCTGCTCGGGAAGGTGCTCCGGGGTTACCAAACGATCGACAGAAAGCAGCTGTCCAGGAAATTGGTTGTTTCTACTTAGTGTCCTTAGACAGACTGAGAAGCTTTTGAGGTCACTTGAAAATCTGCAAGAAAAAAGCCAAGTACCTGTTTTCTATAGTTTATTTCCTCCTAAAGGAGTTTGTCAAGGAATCAGCTTGAAACCCCCCAAAATACACAATCACGACTGGTGTCCACTATAATTTTAGATTACTCTTAAGAAGTTAGTTTTTTTCACAGTGCACAGGACGGTTAGAAGGTAAAAAAAAGAGATTAGGAAATCAACTTTTATAGTCCCCCAACAAGGTCCTATTTTCTCCAGACTGGTGAGAGCAGTTCTCTCATAGCTCAAATGGAGGAGGATCTCCACGTACTTTACTAGTAACAGCCAGGGAGCTTCAAAATATTCTCATAAATGAGTTTCATTTTGTGACGGGAGCAGTGGGTGTACAGGAGACCAGTAAATGCCCCAGTCTCCAAAGAGACACTCCTGTGCTTTATCACCTCAACTCCAGCACCTCCGAAGCCTGATGCCCCTGCCCACTGTGGCGTGTAAGAGGTAACGGGCACCATCACTTTCTTTGTGATGCTCCAAGCATCAGTGTGAGTCCACGCCGGGTTCAGACTCATGGCGCCCGTCACTGTCCGGCCTGTCCCAACCTCCTGACCTGAGCTGCTTTTCCTGCGGTAGCCAGGGGCCTGGAAGGGTGTGTTAAGCCTGGGCATTATTTTCCCCAAACAGCAAGGTCTGGACGCATGAAAACTGACACACAGAACCACTGGCGGGTGCCCACGATCTTTAACCCACCTAGAGGACTTTGCCCTATTTCTCTGTGTCTTCCCTGGAACCCAGTTACACATTAAGCACCAAAGATTATGAAATAATCTAACTCTGAAACCTAACACAACAACCATCGAAAAGCCAAACAAAACAAACCTTTTTTTATGCCATTTTGTGGAAGAATAAAATCTCACTTGTTTTTTAAAGAAACAAGTCTCCTCAGAGTTACTTTACCTCTACCAGTCTTTTCAGAGCCAGTCTTCCAGGAGCTTCTCTATCTGCCCCAATATTCCCGCAGGCCAGAGACAAAAACTTCAAAAATAAAAGAGCCTGTCAATATTCTGAATTGGGTTATCAGAACCGAACGCTTATAGGTAAAGCCATGGAGAGGGTGGGAGTAGCTGACTTCATCTTGACAATAACTAGGCCAGACAGCCATGCACCGCGGCCGCGTAACAACAGGACTATTGCAGGTGCCGGCAGAGCCTGGGGCAGGCTTCCTTTTCTTGGCTGCTCAACACACCCTGTTCATGTCATTTAATCTTTATTGGTGATAAGCGGAGTTCTAAAATGGAGAAAACTAAGAGGGAAGGCCCAGGGATAAATGACACATAAGAAACACCACAGAGCATGAAATCTTGTACTAAGATTAAGTGATACATCATGTTTATTTAGATAAGGGCCAGAAGTATAAACTGTATAGATTGTGTCTCCAATCAAAAAATAAAGCACAATAAAAACAGGCAGTACTCCAATGGAGGCCCGCTTCTTGAGTTCTCAAATGCACAGGAGAGCCACTTAACCATGCCAGCAGCTTCAACAATGCTGGATTCTTAGAATACTTTACGCTCATTCTAAGGGTGGGCGAGCGTCCCCCATTGCCTTAACTCCAGATTCACACCACAGAGCAGGGTGGCAGCACCTGTGACTGCTACGGGTACTTGGATATTTGATCTTGCAACTGAAAAACTTCCAAATTCAGTGTCAACATTTAGCAGGTCTCCTTACACAGAGCACATTTATTGTCTTTAAAACATCCAGGAAGGAGGCGTCTGAGCTGAAAGAATCTGTCTGATTCTCAGGAATAAAAGCTGCAGCCTCTCCCTGCACGGTCTGCATTCTACAAATGGCATGGTACTTACTGCACAAACGCACACACAATCTTCCACACAGCGTAACTCCACAGTGGGGAGAAAGTAGGCCAGCTTGAGTCTTCAGACGCCAAGCGCGATGACAAGGCCAGAGAGGGGGGCTTTAAAGTTGGGGCTCCGACCTCGGTGCCTCGGGAGGCATACTTACTTTTTAAACCACATGATTTCATCAGGGTCAGCGATGCCAAACTCCCTCATCTTCTTCACCATGGTGGCACTTTTCCGAACAGCCAGCTCGTAACGCTGGCTGCGGGAGAGGAAGTTCAGGTTCTCATGCTGGAAGTCGGGGTCGTTCACGATCAGGTTCTCTACAAGGGGATTCAAGGGCAGCGACAGAGAGACTCGGGCTCAGTGACCCCTCCCGGGGTCGCAGCTGGTTTCAGACCGGGGCGCGGGTCCCTTCTTGCGAAGGCCGACACCCTCAGCCCCCCGCCCCTGCTCCAGGCCGCCCCTAGAAGTCGGGGTGCCCCCGCTCGCCAGGACCGGCGGCCGCGGCGCCCCCGCCCTCACCGATCTCCCGGCGGCGCCGGGTTTTCTCGGGGCTGCCGTCCAGGACGTGCGTGAGCAGCTCCGGGTTGAAGCTGGCGGCGGCCCGCTCCCTGCGCAGGTCCGGGTTCATC